TGTACTCCATGCTGGGCAACAGAGTGAGACTCTGTCTAAAAAAAAAAAAAAAAAAAAAAAAAAAAAAAAATCTGTTCTCTGGGTCTCTCTGTATGTCTTCATTCCTTAATTCTAGTCAGGCCTGTCATCAAGTGTGACCCCCCTTATGGCTCTCCAGCCCCCAGCCTGCGTGAGTTTTCTTTTGATCACACACTACAACCTTCTTGTGTGTGTGCTGACCCGCGTGCTGCCTGTTCTCCCATTAGATGTCAGTTCCAAGAAATCCAGCCTTCCTGCAGTATCACCACCGCTGAAATCTCAGTGCCCTGGACAGTTCCCAGCATAAGTATCTGTTGAATGGATACATGCGTGAATGGGCTAAATTGGATCACTTTTGGATACATTGGATTATTACAGAGATGTTGGAGAATTTCTAAGTTTATAGATTATCAAACTCCTTTTGTCTGCCTCTGGCTGAGCATGGAAAAAATGGGCTAACGCTCATTGGCAAGTCAGGGGAAACTCATTTGAGTGGAGGGTGAAATGACCCTCATCTCACTTGAAGTTCTGTTACCAGTGTCTAGTGAGCCAGGGGCTCCCGTCCCCATCACTAAGGGCTCTCTCAGGACCTTGCACATAGGCAGCTGTACAAAGGACCCAGGGACTTCCCTCCATGGCTGGAGCTGCCTGTGACAGCAGACTGGCTGGGTGTAAGGATATGGGTCTTTCAAGACCCCACCCACTTTATCTTCTGGTGTTCACATTGGACAGGTGAGTTGTCCAATACAAAACCCAAAGGAGTATTTTTACATAAGCTGGCACACTCCGCCCTCTGTAAGTCATGGTGGTTTTTGATTAGGATATATCATGGTTCGCAATCTTTTTTTTTTTTTTTTTTGATGTGATGTTCTCTGCTGCGCACAGCCTAGTGCAATTGTGCTCGTGGGAGATGTGCTGACCGGGTGGTGCTTTCCTCCCTGATTTAGAGGAAATACATGGTCTGCTTTGACCCACTAGATGGATCTTCCAACATTGAGTGCCTGGCCTCCATTGAAATCATCTTTGCTGTCTACAGAAAGGTAAGTAGACTGACAAAATGTCAGGAGAGCTGAGATTTCCCACCTCACTCCTGGGGTGGGCTCTGGAAGGTTCCCAGGCTGAGAGTCACGAGTTTAGAGTCCTAATCTCTGTCTCCTGACTAACTGGAAAAGCCCCTGCAGGCAAACCACAAACTTCTCTCTTCCTGAGGCTCCTCATTAGAAGAACTGAATTGGTGACTTTCTGTGCCTACTTTCTATTGCTCCTGGGATGATTACATAGAAGGACAGCTGAGATTTGTTTTGAAATCTGGATACAACACCAATGTCAGACATAGTATTAGGTTCCAGGCAGCATCCAAAGACCCACTCTGTTCCTTCCCTCTGCATCTCACCTCTTACTGTATTCATTTTCCTTTGTTGTGAGAACAAATCACCACACACTTAGAGGCAGCAAACAATACCTGTTGATTGTCTCCCACTTCTGTAGGTCAGAAGTCCAGCTGGCTTGGCTCATAGAAGAAGTGGAGAGTAGCATGGTGCTTACCCTGAGATTGGGGATGGTTTGGGAGACGTTGGTCATTAAATACAAAATTTGTTAGACAGGAGGGAAAAAAAGGAAGAACAGCCATAGACTCATCATTCTCCTCTACTACATTAATGTTCAGAAATTTAGACTTAGTAACTCTCTTCCTGAATGTCTTTCTAAGGTGCCAAGTGACCTCGATGTTCCATAGACAACACCTTACACAGCAAAGTGCTTCTGGGGGTGGGAGGCAGTTGACCTTCCCTGGAATCCCGACTGTCCATAGACAGGGCCTTACACAGCAGCGTGGCTGGGGGTGGGAGGCAGCTGACCTTCCCTGGAGTCCTGACTGCAGGTTCCGTTTAGAACATGGGGTCTCATTTTGAGAAGGTCTTACTATTTAACATTCACAAGATGTTCACAGGTTCAAGAAAACATAAAATGATATTCAGGGTAAAGAGAAGCAGCAGAGATTGGCTGGGCACAGTGGTTCACACCTGTAATCCCAGCACTTTGGGAAGTCAAGGTGGGCAGATTACCTGAGGTCAGGAGTTCCAGACCAGCCTGGCCAACATGGTGAAACTCTGTCTCTACAAAAAACACAAAACTACTACTAGATTCCATGTAGAAGGGACACATTTAGTATTAACATTTCTCTTTCTGTGTCTGGCCGGTTTCACTCAGTGCGATGCCCTCCAGACTCACTCATCTTGTGGAAAATGACAGGATTTCTTTCTTTTTTAAGGCTGAACAGTATTCCACTGTGAATGTATGCTACATATAAAAATTCATTCATCCACTGATGGACAGGTGAAGTGCACGTGAATGCTTCCAGCATCTGTGGAGCCATGAGGACTTGGTATCCCTGTCCCTTTCAGCAGAATCTTCTAGACTCCATGTTCAAGGAGCCCCTCGAGGTTGTTTACCTTTGTCATCCCTCAGTGGGCTCTTGACTTCAGCTTCCGCACTAGCCCGAATGGGAAGAGTTGTTTGCCAAGCATTGCTAATCACAGTCAGTCTTCCGTATGTGTGAGCATAAATCCCCACACAAGTAACTGCTTGGCACCTGGGCACACCCAGTCCTGGAATTTGGGTTTTGAAAGTGACAGCTGTCTCAGCAGCTTCCTTGGAGAATGCATCACTGATGATTGAGGAGGGAGCCGAGGAGCAGGCAGTGCCTCTGGGGGAAGCCAGGAAAGGGGCTGACCTGCAATTATAACTTGGGGCACCTGGAGGAGGACACAATGGGGCACGTGATATGGGCGGGGGAAGGGGAAGATGAGGTCATTCACCCTTCGGAGCATCTTAGGACCATTTTCTTCCTTTCCATGTTCTTTCACCTTGATGTTTCCCAGTGTTTCTCACAGGGTGCCTTTGGGAATTGGGTGAATGGGAGGTCCTGTCCTTGCAGGGTATTTCTTGTCCATGGCTGCCAAGCATCTAACATGCTAGCATCCCTTACAGCCCCATATTGTGAAAACCAAAGAATACCTGCACACGTTGTCTGACACCCCCTGGGTTGCTGCCATACTCTGTGGAGTAGATCTCACACAGTGGTGGGGAGAGGTCTGTATCTGGGACAGCTGAGGAAGGCAGTCATTTTATTTGGCTTCCAAACGGGCCAAATGAGCAAAAGAAATACTTCCCATGTTCCCAGCTGTTATCGGTTGGCATTGCCTAGGAATGTGTTTTTAAACTGCATTTGCTAGTGAATCGATGGGACTGGGCATCTGGAAATAAAACGAATGTCCTCTTGTTTCCCTGCACCAACGAGGGTGGGCAGGAGAGAGGGACTGGCTGTTTTCATTATTAAACAGTGCAGGGGGCTGCCCCATGGGAAATAGGACCTTGCAAACAGGGCATTCCAGGGACCCAAGTGAGCTCCCCAACTGGGTGGGGCGGGGCAGGGCAGGCTTGAAGGTACTGAGATCAAGGTTGGAGTTCCTGGGGAAAAGGAAGAACATGGGCCGGGGCTGATCTGTGTGAGATCTACTCTGAAAGTCTACAGGAAGTGAACTAGGGCAGTGACATGCGGGAGCCGCGGTGCTCGGTCCCTGAGAGCCGAGCATGCCTTCCCAACTCAGTGACATCACATGGGGTACTTGAAATCAGCCAGGGTGGGAGCATTTACACCACAGGAATCAGCAAATGCTACAGATCGGTGCCTGCCTGCCCGCCAGCGGTCGCTGACCAGCTCACCATCGTTTTAGGGGTCTCTAACAGCCCCACGGCTCCACCCTGGCTCTAGGTACCACCTTATTACAGAAGAAGGTTGCACCTTCTACCTCCCTGTGCTCACTGCTACCAATTAAACAAAGGCCAGTGTAGCCGAGGCAGGCTAGCTAGTCAGGAAATGACCGTGTTTCAGGACGCAGCAACCATGATGACCAGTGACCGTACAGCCAACGCAATAAGTCTTAGCATTTCCATCTTCAGTAGAGACTTTCCTTCCAGAGAGCATGCGCATTTTGATTTTACTGCTCCTCAAAATGACCCTTTGCTCACAATTATAAAAATTACACCACTGGGTAGAGATTTAAGATGTTAATGAGACATGTGACGTATGAAAAAGCATGTACAGTTACTGCGCATGTGCACCCAGAAGACCACTCAGAACATGCTTATTAGCAAAACCTCTTCCCACCTCCTTATGAAAAATCATGTAAGACTCCCATAAAGGGGTTTTCTCCAACAGCAATCAATGCTGTCTCACCCTAACCAGCAGCCACCCTGAACTCTCTCTCTCTCTCAGAGTGTAGTGTCTATTCTGCACCTAACTTTCAAAATACTCTTTTTCCTTTGCAATAAAATCACTCTGTGCTGCATCTCCTTTGCTGTTGCCTTTTGTTTAAATTCTTTTAAACCAAGAAGGCAAGAACCGAGGTGTTGCATCAGCCATCAAGAAAGCTATCCAAACCTGCCTCAGGATGCTGCTGTTGCTTAGACAAATTTAATTCTTCTAAAAGAAAGGAGGGACTCCTTCTATGACAGGTAGGGACAGGAGTTGCTTCTTGATTTTGTGTCAGCATTCATTTCTACTACAATCAATGCAAGTCCCATTCTTATTTGATTTTAAAATTAGTTTCAGGGGGTTTCAGGAGTTGGCATATTTTTATTTTGTTTGATTATCCTTCCAATCAGATTTTCCATGAGTTGATATTAAAAGTAGTTTGCCTTGCCAGGCGTGGTGGCTCATGCCTGTAATCCCAGCACTCTCGGAGGCCGAGGCGGGCAGATCGTGAATTCAAGAGATCGAGACCATACTGGCCAACATGGTGAAACCTCGACTCTACTAAAAATACAAAAATTAGCCAGGCATGGTGGTGTGTGCCTGTAGTCCCAGCTACCCGGGAGGCTGAGGCAGGAGAATCTCTTGAACATGGGAGGCGGAGGTTGCAGTGAGCTGAGATCACGCCGCTGCACTCCAACCTGGGTGACAGAGCAAGGCCCCCTTTCTAAAAAAAAACTAGTTTGCCTTTACTTCATCCAGTGAAGAAAGGTGCTCAGGAATATTTTGCAAACTGAAAAAAAAATTGGGAGTTTGCCCAGAATGAAAAATTCACCACCTGTAAACTGCATTTGTGTAATTAAGAGCTGCTGTCCACCCGTGCGGTCTCCCTGCACCCTGCCATGTGGGCACCGCCACATCGCCTCTCAGTGCTCTTACCCGGCCTTCCCAGACTGTGGATGGTCTCCTCATAGCCTGCAGACAATTAGTCCTCCCTTCTGATGGAAAAATGAAAATAAATTGCCAGGGCTGGGGCTGGAATAAAGGAAACTAGGAACTAGGAGATTCACCAGGGCTTCCGAGAGCAATGCTGTTACCACGTAACATTCACTCACTCACACGCTGAAAAGATATTCTACTGCAGGGACCACAGTGAGCAAAATCAGAACAACCAGCCAGCAAACAAGCAAGAAAAGTGCCAGATAGCATAAGCTGGATCAGTGGATGATAATCAATGGCCTACAACTCGACACTTGCTTTTGTAAATAAAGTTTTATTGAGATGCAGCCACACACTCTTGTCTGTGGCTGGTGTTAGTCTTGTCTGTGGCTGGTGTTCCTAATGGCAGAGTTGAGTTGCCACAGAGACCATCTGGCTGTCTACAGAAAGGGCTGCTGCTTCCAGGGGTAGGTGCCATGCAGGGAATTGAAACAGGGTGAGGTGAGATGAAAGGATGGAAGGATGGTGGTGTCTATTTTCATCTGGCTGATCAGGACCTCTCTGATGTGACATCGAAACCAAGACCCAAAGGGCAAGAAGAAGGAACCAGCCCGAGGAAGGGCTGGAGGAAGGCAGAGGAAGAGGGAGTGCAAGGGGCCAGGGCAGTGAAGGGTTGAGGGAGCTCAAGCATAAAACAACAAAGAAGGAGGGTGGCTGGGCTAGGGCCGGAGGATGGGCCTGGGGTGCAGGCAGAGAATGAGGCGCCACGTGACCCGAGAGGCGGTGCTGCTTTATAGACCTTACCCAGGGGCTGAGGAGATCGGGCTTTGGCCAAGTGTATTAAGTAGGCAGGTGCGAGATCTGTCTTAGGTTCAGGAATTCCCCCGGCTGCTCAGACTGGAGTCTTGGGGTCAGGAAGCAGAGTGGAGGGACCAGATAGGAGGTGGTCTTGGCAGCCAGGGGAGACGTGGTGGTGCTGGGACTGGGGCTATCCAGGTTCTATTACTGAGTGAGCCTTGGGCAAGAATATTAGGGAGGCTCCCGCTTCTGTGTAAATATTTAAAGTATGTGATTAGCGTTAACACAGGTGAATAGAATGTGTCCTGCAAAAACCCCCTATGATCACCTGGGAAGCCTCACTTTAAATTCTGTGGCCCTTGGAGTTTGGTGCTGCCTCCTCCTCTTCCCAGCCTGGTCCTGCCCTGACTGCGGACGTCTGCCACACCCCAGATGCCCCAGGTCTCCTGAGTACCCTCCAGCTACACCCACAGACCTAGGGGACACACACTGGAGAGCACTTCAAGGCATGAGCCAAAATGTCAGTGGCACCATAGTCCCTGCTCCTCTCCCCCAGGGGTGCTGGTTGCACATGGCTCCCACCTGGCTTAGCCAGGGAGGACACGACCAGCCCAAGGTTTGTGGCCAGCTGGGGTCTCAGGGTGGTCTTGTAGCTTGTGTTTCTAAGCTGTTCCTATAACTTATTTAACTGTATTGATTATGGAAACTTTATAATGTTTTATTTATGCTTCTATTTAAGTTATAAGGTAGGAAACTCAATCTCCTTAGTGCCATTCAGATGCTAGCTGGAACTCTATTGAATGCATGTAACTCAGGGAAATTGAAACATGCAGTCCTATCTTGCTATCAGGGACAGCAGTCTCCTTCCATTTGTTCATCCACTGTTTTATGTGCTTCAGTACATTGTGTTAGTGACTGTTTTTCTACTTCTCTGAATTTTCTGAATATTCCACCATGTCACTTTGGAATTACTTTTGTAATTTGAGAGCAGGGTCTGGGGGTTGTTCTCCCTCTTGCTGCCACAGCCAGCTCTGCTCCAGGGAGCTCAGAGGACACCGAGCTTTCCAGAGAGCAAAACGCACATGGAATCTGATTCTATTCATTAGAGCCAGAAAATCATAGTTGATGCTATGAGACTGATGTAGGGAAGGTTTCCTTTCCATGTTTCAGTGTTTTCTTTGCTGTGAAATATTTCTGATGGGTGAAGCTTTAAATCTTCCCAGGGCTACTTCATCTAGCAACCATGGCGTGCTCTGTGCAAGACCCCAGCGGGTCCTATGTCACTTGAACAGGAGTCTGCTGCCTGTGAGGTGCGGTCTGGTGCTGATGCACAGGCTCTGAGAGCATCAGGTGACTGCTGATCTGCCTGGTCCAGGGCCGGCGACATCTTCTCTGGCGGCATCTTCCCATCCATCTCTGGGTCCAGCTGCTGCGCTCTGCCTCCTACCCAGGGCCTCCTCAGACTTGAGGCTGAAGGTGCACACCCCAGGGCAAGATTTCCCCATACCAGGCAGGAGGAAAATCTGCTATGGGGCCTGTGGGCATAGCATAGAGGCCTCCTGCCTCTTCACAGCCTCAGGCAGATGCTGGTTTAACTGCAGGTGAAGCTCCTTACTGCCAAGTACTGGATAACACTCTGCCCAGCCCTCTGGAGCTGATGGACCATCTGGGCATTAAGCAATGCAGGCTCCATGGGGTTGTACACATCTGTTCTCACCAGGCCCACCAAAGGCTGCCTGGCTTTGGCCAGAGAACTCTTCGGCTGAATGCTGCCTCTGATACTGACTAGGCATGGCCTTACCAGGGCCCACACACTCCAATGTGCTCCCAGGTGGGGTACTGTCCTTCTACCCTGGTTGGAAATGTCATCACAGAGCAGCGTTTCACACCGGGGGCAGGGCCTGCTTCTGAGCTCTCTCTCCTGTTCCGAGGGACTCCTGACTCTCGGAGTTAAGGTGCAGGTGGAGAACATCATGAAATCAGAGCCTGTGTCCCTCTAAGCCGGGCAGCTGCCCCTCCCCATACCCAACACCACGCAGGAGGGTGCATCCCGTGTAGAACAGACTTCCCACAAGAAGCCAAGTATCCGCATTTTTAGGTGTGATCTCCTGATTTTTAAATGACAGTCAATGTCCCCCAACCCCTCCTCATACTCAACAGAGCACCGCAGCTTCTCCGGGAGGCCCCTATCTGCTGTGACCCCCTCTCCCGGCAGACCCACCTCCTGCCTCTGAGCCTTGGGTTACTTTCCTCTGAAATGGGCTCATGAGAGGACCGCACAGATCCTGGCAGTCAAATGAGGGGCTGCGTGGGCAGCGTCTGGAACCCTGGTGGGTACCAGCTACGGGACTCCCCAGGTCCTTCCCACGGGGCCTGGCTCCTATGGAGGGTCCCACATGACACCTGGAATTTTTGTGTCCCCGGGGAGCAGCAACCTTGAGAGCTGGATGCCCCTCTGGGCCCTCTGCCTTCTCTCTGTCTTTCCCGCATTTGCTGCTTTCTTAAGCCTGGCCACTCCCCACCTCAGAGTGGAGCTTCCTGGGAGCCTGAGGACTTTGGCTCGAGGAGAAGGGAATGCGGGTGTGAAGTGTCCTCCTTCAGTTCCTTGTAAGAGCAAAGCCAGCATCCCAGAGACGACAGGAGCAGAGGGGTTCTAAAGCACTAAGAGGCAGAGGACTCAAGAGAGAGCAGCGCCACCTCCCACCCGGCCTGCAGGAGAAGCCGGGCTCCTGCCTCGTGTCCCTGGCAGGAATGTCAGGTTGCGCTGGGGAGGCTGCACCGGCTGCGGGTCCCAGGGACCAGGAAGCCGCCTCCTCTCCAGACCCCATGGCTGGGCTCTCCCTGCAGCGGGGCTGCTGTCCCCTCGCCGGGCCCCCCTTTCCAAGCCCTGGCTAAAGATGCCGTCCCCACCTCAAGGGCATGCAAACAAAGGGTCACCCTGAGCCACCTTTCACCAGGAATCCCCTGCAAAGACCAGAAAGGGAAACTGAGCAGAAGGAAGGCCATGGAGACCTCACTGAAGGGGCCGAGGGCAGGGCCACAGACGACACCAGCCCCTGCGGGACTCCACGGTGGGGGCTCCTGGGCGTCACCTCCACACCCACTTAGGTCTTGCAGACTTTCCAGATCAGCTTCAGGCTGCACTGCCCTCAACCGCAGCACGAGCGCGCTGCCCTTCTCTAGGGGTGGCACCGGGAACTGCCGGGGAGCGCCCGTGAGTGCCGCACCCGCCTGGAGCAGCACAGAGGCCGCCCTGATGAGTAAATGCGGAAAACCAGTGGCTCCGGAAAAGGTGTGACCCATCTCACATCCTCAGGTAGATCCAACACCCCACCGGAAAATGGAGACGTGCGGTGAATGCCGTTGGCAGAGTGTCATTGACAAGCACTTGCTCAGGCGCCCAAGGCTCTGTGATTTGCCACCTGTGTGCCTCAGGGCAGCCGACTGACCTCTCAAGGCTGCAGCAAAACAGTGGTAAAAACACCCCGGAAGCTGCTGTGTGCCATAAATGAGGCCTCATTGAAAACATATTTATCCTAGTTCCTGGCCGAGTGCTCTATAAATATCACTATATGTATTAGCAGTATTGCAATTGTATCGATTAAAAATCTGTTTTTGTTATTTTCTCCCCATGTGTCCATTCTATTTCTGTGTCAGAAAAAAAGAAGTTGAATCTCAGGCAACTCTCCGCAGTTCCCAACGCTCCCCAGCATTCTCCCTCACTGAGGGGAGTAACAGAAACACACTTTGACACATTTGGCCTCAACCTGGGGAAAGATCTGACTCTTCTGTGGCATCATGTACAGAGAATGAATCAAGGGACAAAGCACAAAATTGGCCTGGTTTGGGCAACTCTTTGAAGGTCGCCTTTTCTTTTCTTTCTTTTCTTTTTTTTTTTTTTTTTTGAGACAGTTTTGTTCTGTCACCTGTCACCCAGGCTGGAGCGCAGTGGCATAATCTCTGCTCACTGCAACCTCCACCTCTTAGGCTCAAGCGATTCTTCTGCCTCAGCCTCCTGAGTAGCTGGGACTGGTGAGCACTACCATGCCTGGCTAATTTTTTTGTGTTTTTGGTAGAGATGGTGTTTCACCGTGTTGGCCAGGCTGGTCTCGAACTCCTGACCTCAGGTGATCCACCCACTTTGGCCTCCCAAAGTGCTGGGATTACAGGCGTGAGCCATATCATGCCTAGTCAGGTCTCTTTTCTAATCTTTCAAAAAATTAACTTCCTCTTCCTAAGAGAGGATTCAGCAGAAATCACACTGGAAATTGCACTGTTTTTTCTTGCTCACTGCAGGCATTTCTCCCTTGGGAAGAAAAGGAAACCCTGAGGTTCTAGGTGTGAATCCTGACAGCCTCCTCCTGTGGTGAATTGATAACCCTGCCTGTGGAAGGTCCAGGAAGGCAGCAAAACTTCCCCAGAAGGGTGGACGTGACCGGACAGAGCAACACGGACAACCGCTAAGGAGCTTTCGGACACCAAATGCTCTCTCGGAGCTGAGCAGGAGCGGTGCCCCTCGGGGATGCCATTGTGTCGCTCTAGGTCCTCACAACACTGGATCAGCTGTCTCCTTCCAGAGCATGTGAGTTGCCCTGAAAGGAAGCCCTGTACCTATGAGCAGTCACTTGCCATTCCCCACTCTGCTCAGTCCCTAGCAACCACAGGTCTGTTTTCTGTCTCTGGGGATGTACTATTGCCATTGCATTTTGATGCCTAACAAATTGGTTGGAGCAATTGTGAAGCCTTTGATTTAAACATGAAATAGGATCAGCCCTGTCTGACCAGCAAAGGTACCTGTCTCTTTCTGTGTGTGGCAGGGCGGGGGGCGGGGGGTGGTCTGGGTCCTTTTAAGGCTGTAACAGGACAAGAGGATGGGAGAAGAGACATCACAAGGTACAAGCTCTATGCCGCAAAGGCAGCCAGGGACACAACATCCCCGTCAATTTCTCCTTTCTCAGTCCCACAGGGAGAAGCAGGAGGCTCCACAGCATGAGATAGTTCACGACTCAGTCACTCCTTCATTCAACAACTAGCATTTAGGGAGGGCCTCCCTGAGCTGAGCACAGTGCTGAGAATGGGAAGACGTAGCCCAGATCCCTCATCTTAGGGAGGTGTAGATGTGTGAACAATTTCACATCAAATATCACATAAGAACTTTTAACAGGATCATGTAGGCAAGGTGCTCAGTGCACTCAAGGGAACCTATTCTAGGTCTACATGGCGAGGCAGGAACTATGCCACTCTAGTGTCATTCCCCTTCACATGCCACCCTCTCTTCAACCATCCCCATCCTGTCCTGCTCCCTAATAAGAACTTGCATGGAGCCATTTGGGGTGCAGCCTGAGGCCTCTTCCTCACTGTTACCCAGAAGGATCCCCTCTGCTTTCGTCTGTAGCTCCCTTGCACCCCAAAACCTATCTTGCCTCCAGTCTCCTGAAAGCTTCCACCCAATACTGGTTTGGGCCATGCATGGCTCTCCATGGTGACCTCACCTGACTGTGTGGTTAGGGGGTGTTCTGCCCTTCGAGAGTAGGAGCCAGCCTGAGGGGAGATATGGAATCCTCAGCCCAGGCAGGTGTAGAATACTCCATAAAGAGCTTTCGTATAAGTGACAGAACTCAGAGAAGCCCATGCAAGGGTGTCTCCATGTGATCTGAACTGGGGCAGGACCATTCCTTCAGTTCTAAATCCTGGGAGCGCTCATGCACCGCTGATCTCTTCCAGCTGAGCCAGCGTGCCTTTTGCTGCTGTAACGGTGCTGCTACAAACTCATAACTTCCCTGATGGCTCCCATTTTTATTCCTAAAGTAGGACCAGAGTTTCTCCACAGGAGCTACACCAACACTTGGCAAGGACCTGGAAACCTGTGGTGGCATTTTTTGTTCCCACAATGTTGGGGGGATGCTCCTGGGGCTGGGAACTGGGTGTCCAGGTACCGTGAACACAAAATGTCCCTCGTCCCCCACCCCCCGGGAGTCTGGCCTGAGGTGGATCAACATGCAATCAAAGCTATAGCCCTGTATAGTAGACATAAGCCCCGGGGGTGTGTGGGGAGCTCTGGATGAAAGGGGCAGGGGGCTTCTGCATGAGGAGGTAGGGGCTGTCCTTACTCCCCAGGCCCCAAGGCAGCTCAGGGCCAGAACTGAAAGCTGAATCCTCAGTGGAAAGAAAAACCTTCCATATGTCACGAAAAGTTACCTAAGTAAAAATTCCATTTCTAGTGATCTGAGACAGTGAAGCTTAGAAGCCAACTTCCACATCCCAAACTAGGTCGGAAAGCTGCTTTGGAAACTTCCCTGGGCCTTGGGGACAGGCCAGCAGCAGTGATCCCAGTCAGACCTCCACAAGGTGGCCAGCCTCAGGGCCACAACTTCAATAGCACTGATGTTCACAAGGCCAAAGCCATCACCGTGGGTCCCTCTGTGGGGTGTGCAGAGGGGGCCCTGGGCTATGGGAGCTGGGATGATGATGATGTGTGTGGAGGGACCCCCCCCAACACTCGAAAGTATGAATGGAGGTAAATGTCATCAGCCTGGTGTTCACCTGCATGGCCCAGTTCCCCTAGTCCACTCCCTCAGGGGCGTCAAAGGTCTCAGCCTTGCACGAGAGATTTCCCGACTTTCCAAACTTGTCAGCCTTTGAGGTTTGTCTTCCTGGGTGGGTCTCTGCTGTGCCTGAGTGGTGGCCCAAGGCCATGTGACCAGGGGAGAAACTAGCCCAGCAGGCCTGGGTTTGATTACCATTCTGCCTCTCACTTGCTGTGTGACCTGAGGCAAGTTACCAGACCTCATTGAATATGTTTTCCTAGTGGAGCTTTTGATGGATGCCTGGTATGGGGTGTGCAGTCAGGAAATGCTGTTTCCCTGCCACTTTTCAATGTTTCCTCTTCTCAGCCGATATTTAAAACAGTTCCCACAGGCTGGGCGCAGTGGCTCACGCCTGTAATCCCACCACTTTGGGAGGCCAAGCAGTAAGTGCCCCACGGGCAACAGATGTGCTGCCTGGGGTGGGGGTGGTTTGCTGTTGGGACTGGGAGCCGGAAGAAGGGGCCAGGGAGGAAGCACCCTGGAGCTGTCTGGGAAGCAATGCTGGAGGCTGTGCCACTTGGGCAGATGGTCAAGATGAGGCAGGCACCAGTTTAGCCCAGCCACAGACAAAGCTGCTGAGGCTCTGGGGCTCTGTCTGCCAGGCACAAGGTATGGAGCCAGGACTGAGTGAGCCTCTGTGCTCTGGGCTGACCAAGGATGAGACTAGGGCATGCTGGAGAGAGAGCTGACTCCTGACAACCTGGGCTTTGTGTGGAGCAGGTAAGGAAGCCCCCCACAACTTGTCTCCCCGTGCCAGTGGTGCAGTGCCCAGAGCCTGCAATCCTCACTCCGGGCGTGGGCCAAGAAAGAATGGGCCCTTTGGCTGGTGCACTAGGCGACCTTCAGGCTGTCTGGGACCAGCTCTGACAGCCTCTGCCCTGGGATCAGCTGCGCAGCGGCCTACACATGGCATGGGGCAGCAGCAGTGGCAACCCTGGACACTGGCCCCCGTAGCATGGAACCCAGGACCAGATGCTGCCACAGTCAGCAGTCAGCCTGCAGGTGCGGGAGGGCAGGAGGCGCTCGGTTACAACTCTGTGGCTGCTCAGTGCCCAGCGCCTGCAAACCTGTGCTCTGGGCCAGGCCAAGGAAAAGCGGACCCTAGGGTGGGATGGCGGGATGGCGGTACACTCCCCAACCCCCACGCCCTCGGGGAGCAGCCCCACCAGAATCTGCCATGGGCTCAGCCACAGCTGCCACCTGGAAATGGCACAAGTCAGTATCAGTGGCAACCCCTGGCCCTGTCCTCCCCCACCAGCAGCAGGAATCCCAGGGCCAGATGTCGCCATGGCGCCTAATTTAGGTGGTCGGCGGCGCTACTGCAAGGGGACGGAAACAGGCGCTCAGCCTCATCCTGGGGGCTGCAGTGGGCCCAGAGCCTGCGACCCCACACTCTGGGCTTGGGCCAAGGAAACACGAATCTTAGGGTGGGGGAGGTGCCTTGGGCAACTCCCAGGCTGTCTGAGACCAGCCCTACAGACTCCCGTGCATTCTGCTGCACCTGCCACTTATAGATGGCATTCGGCAGTGTGGTGGCAACCCCTGATCCTGCCCGCCTCCACCAGCAACCCAGACCCAAGGGCCAGACCTTGCTGCGGCGCCTAAATCAGGCCCCGCAGCAGGAGGAGGACTGGAGCTGGCACCCAGCCCCATCCCAGTGGTTGTAGGGTACCCAGGGCCTGCGACCAGTGCCCTGGACCAGGGACAAAAAGGAAAAGAAGGAGGGCGGGAACCGGCACTGCCATCCTCTGCCGTGGGCTCAACTATAGTTGCCACCTGCACATGGCGCGGCAGAAACAGTGGCAACCCCAGCTCTGACTGCAGTCATCAGCAGGGGGAGACCCAGGGACTGAGGCTGCCTCAGAGGCTGCCACCTGGCCACCTCTGCACCACTGTCCTTGCCCTGGTGGCAGCCAGCCACGCTTCTACCTCTCCGGCGCTCTGCAGTCTCCGTGGCTTCCACTCACTGCATACAAATACAATAATCTTATGGATGAGGCTTTTTGGGCCAGTGGAGTGTACTATGGTTACTTTTACATCTGAAAGTATAGTAGGGATTAATGTTATATGCTGTAATTCCCATAAGTCATAGAATTCTAATCAGGAATAATTATATGTAAAGATACCTCTGAGGTCCAACAGCTCTGATCATTTTGGGCTTCAAGTCTCTGTGACTAGTGATTTTGTGGGTCGAAACTTCTGGCAAAAGCGGGTAGCCCTTAGGAGCTGGGGACAGGGGGTTGGCCTGATTCCCTGACAAGGCTGCCAATTTCACCCCTTCTGAAAAGCAGCTGTTAATTTACTCTGGCTCTTTTACACATTGGATATTTCTTCCCTGGATAGAGGTCTCTGACCTAAAATTCCAGTTTTGGCATGTGTCACCTTGGACTCAACAAGTAATAAAATGAAAAGGACCCAACAAGCCTCCCTTGTGGAATGAAAATGGAGCATTCAGGAAAGCGGTGGTCCTGGTCCCACAGCATCTCAGCTATATATGCAATAGTGGTAGCTATCTATCAGCAATGAAATGTATCGCCCACTTTCCTGACTGAGGCAAAGCTGCCGGCTTAGCAGAGCCCTCGGTTCATAGAGGTTACTCTAACTGGCCCTGGTTCACTGATGGTTTCACCAGAAACCACTAGCATGCCGCATGCGTTCAAGCTCAGTGCCATTAGCAAACGCAAAGTGAAACAGTCACTGCTCTCAATGGATGGAACACAAGGATGTTCTCAGCTCTGGCCCATACTCCATGTGATGAACCTTGTTACATTTTTGTTAAACCTTGGGCTCTGGATGTGGCCTAGCTATTTGATATTCTAGTTGGAAATTATAGATTAAAAAGCACCTTTTCGTCCTTTGTACGGTGGGGGTAAAAATCACAGCTGCTGAGTGCGCCATCTGGGTTGCTCAAGTAGATGCCCATAAGAAGAGACTATTTTCCGATGAGACTGACTGGAATCAAGCTGCTGATAGAGCTTTCTCCACCCAGATTGTGACCATCACTAGCTGGATCCATCATTGTCCTGGTGTGGCAAAAGATCACCTACTTTACACTGGGTACAAAGTAAACGTCTCTTTATCTGATCCTTCCATTGATGTCATTGGATAAAAGAATTTACAAATTTTTTTTTATTCTGGATAAAGCCAGTACTTCGTATGCCATTGATTAATTCACCTTTTCCCACTGATTTTAAATATCTTCATATACTAAATCATCATTTGTAAAGATAGTGTATATGACTGATTAAACATTCTGATATTTTAGTGACACATCCTTCTTTTGTGAATAGGACTGGCATGTATAGGAACCATAATAGCCATCTTTTTGGCCTGCTATTGAATTTTTCACAGAAGGATAATTGAATCAAGTTTGGAAAATGAGAATACATCCTAGGACTTAAGAAATATAATATCATAGACTAGTTACATTGTAATTCTAGAAATGCCAGCAGCCTTAACAATAAAATACATTGACAATAGGGTAACATACAGTTACCCCTGGAGAGAATCAGATATGACGGGGAGATTAATGGTTCACAAGTCCAGTTAGTACTTGTTAGGACCAGTTAGTCCCTGAGAATCAAAGCATTTTACTCCATTTTTATAATACTTGGTAATTTAAAGCAAGTCTTTCTTTAAACTTTTTTTACTCAGATACTTTCTGAAAGAAAATATTTGGAATCATAGTTCCCTCTGCCCCTTTTAAATAGGATATTTGAGGATTATGATTGGGTTTGGTATTAAGGTTCAGGTACCCTGTAGAATGGAACTGATTCACCCAGGTGGCCTGAGTCGTTGGGAGGCCAGATGCCAAAGCCCCATGACTGGGGACTCAGGCTTTACCTGCTGTCCCTTGGCTGAGGTAGACCCACAGGATACCTTTCCAAACAATACATCACCAGCTGGAGGCCTCGGTCTGTGCTCTCGTCATAAATGCTCACTCTCCCTGCCTGCTTGATGATCTTACCAACTCATGGTCTTTTAGTCTAGCAGATGGATGCCTCATCTAGACACCCTAGAGGAGTTGATTTTCTGTCTGCCCACCTACTCAGGGCCTTCAAGCTAATAAAGATAGAAAACAAGGCAGGAATTTTTGTCTGTTTTATTCGCAGTGTGTCAAACACATGAAACAGCCCCTCTTCATATTAGGCACTCAGAAATATGTGCTGGAGATACAGTATCAAAGCGAAATCTGAAAATTTTTCCTTTTGAGGTTCCAAGTTATTTTTTGAGGGGATTATTTTATTATGAATAGGTAAAATATTGCTATAAGTTCCCCATTCACAGGTATTTTATAAATTTTTAAAACAATGTTCAGAAGTGTACAGAACTGTTCTTCAGATCTTTGTCAACCAAAACATGTACTTTCAATAAGTTGAGATGGTCCAAGTTCAAAGTTATGTCTACACATCTAATCAGTTTATTAGTATTGTAGAGTATAACCTTTTTTTTTTGCTTTGCTTCCACTTAAATACTTTGTAAGTATCAGTCTAAGCAATTTTGCAAAACAATAATGTAAACTCATATTTCCAAGATCAACCAAATGGGCATGCAAAGAAATTCTAAGGATCATCACTTTAATCCATTTTAACAACAGTTCCCCTCATTTTTACCTTCCAAATCATCCTTCTGACAGTTCAAAGGAGAAAAGTTTTTTGTCACATTAAGATATTTATGCCCTTGGAAAGGCATGTTGCCCTGAAAGAAGGGATATAACACCTTCATATGACTTTCCACCTCTATATTTCTCTAATATCTTTTCATATTAAACATCTTCCCAGAACCCCAGAAGAAATAATATCTTCTGTCCTTGTACTAGGGTAGCCTGCTATAATGAGAGAGAAATTTGTTTTCATGTCAGATTGCACAGTCTTCAAGTACCAATAGTCTGCCTGGCAACTGGCTATTTTAGTGATCTTCCAGTATTCTAAAAAGCATTGATAGAAATATGTAACTAGCCTACACATCAGTTGACTGACCCATTAATACTTAAACTAGGAAACTGGTTGGGCTGACTTCTGGGCAAAAGACGTCCATCAAGATATATTTGACCAATCAGATATGCTAGGACTGAGTTGAGGATGGATAATGTCAGCGCTAATGAAGATTTCCTATCCTCATTTAGGATATATATATATATATATATTTATATGGGTGTGTGTGTGTATGTATATATATACACATATATATATGTCTATATATCTTTTAATGATCCAAAAGAATTGAGATGACAACTTTGTACACACCTTCAGCATACCTGAATATAGTTTATTCCTCTGTTACTTGATGTTCAGATGCACTAAATTAAGTGCTCCAAATCAATTCACCAATCTCTCAGTCCTCACTGGAGCCAACTCATAATCAGTCTTTTTCTCCTTTCCCTCATTAATGCAACCTGCCTGACATCTGTGGCATGAATCTGCAAGCTTTCAGTGGGTGAATATAAACACACTGTGGTGCATCCATATTATGGAATACTATGTAGCAATAAAAAAGAATAAACTACGTACACAACAACTTCCCTGGCTCTCAAGGGAAAGGTTACATGTCTCATTCAAGAAAGAACAAACTTATAGAGATGGAAACCTGGCTAGTGGTTGTAAGGATTGCAGGATGAGGGAGGGGATGCCATAATAACGGGCATGGCCGTAGACATAAGGGGAGAGAGTTGACACCTCCTGATCCTGGAGCTTACTGCAAGCCAGAGACTTCTGGGACTCACCTCCTTCCTGGGGCCAGTGGGGAGTGACAGGGAGAGACAGAGCCATCCCCTGGGGCTGTACAGAGGAGGCCCCTGACATTGGGGAACACTGTTCTGTCCTGGCTCTGGTACCTTGGCTCGTACTGGTATCATTCCAAAGTAACCCTTGACTGGCTGGGTGCGGTGGCTCAATCCTGTAATCTCAGCACTTTGGGAGGCCAAGGCGGGTGGATCACTTGAGGTCAGGAGTTCAAGACCAGCCTGGCCAACATGGTGACACCCCATCTCTACTAAAAATACAAATACTAGCCAGGCACATTGGCACATGCCTATAATCCCAGCTACTTGGGAGGGTGAGGCATAAGAATTGCTTGATAAGATCGTGCCAGTGCACTCCAGCCTGGGTGACATAGTGAGACTCTGTCTCAAAAAAAAGTAAACCTTTCCTGACCATCAATTTTCTTTCTCTCTCTTCTTTTTTTTTTTTTTTTTTTGGAGACAAAGTCTCACTCTGTCAACCCAGGCTGGAGTGCAGTGGCATGATCACGGCTTACTGTAGCCTCGACCCCGCCAGGCCCATGTGATCCTCATGCCTCAGCCTCCTGAGTAGCTAGGGTCTACGGGCACACACCACTGTGCCCAACAGGTTTTTATTTTTTGTAGAGACAGGATTTCTCTATAGTGCCCAGATGGTCTCAAACTGCTGGGCTTGAGTGATCCTCCCATCTGTGTCTCCTTAAATGCTGGGATTACAGGCATGAGCCATCAAACCAGGCCTAAATCTTTAAACATAATAAAACAGCTGCTTCAAAACCCATGTTTTCTCATTACAACATTTAGATCATCTTGGGCCTTTTCCATTGGTAGGCTTTTTCCCTCTTGATTTTGGGTCACATTATTCTGCTTAAAATGTCAGGTGTCTGACTTATGCTAGACATTACAGATAAAATATTGTAGAGATTTCTAGATGTATTAATT